CCCCCCCCCCCGCCCCTCCCTCGCCCTGCTTGTAGGGAACCCTGAGGGGGGGGGGGCAGGGCTGGGCAAGGCGGGCAGGGGCGCAGGCCCGGTAGTCGTCACATACGAGAAATTTCACCGCCGAGCAAAGGGGCGCCCCGGTTGCCACGCCATCCGCACCCAAGCCCGGTCGATTGGCAATACCCCGACGCGCCGGCCAGCTTTCGGTGTGTCCGGGCGTGCATGCGCAGGGAGCACGGCGCAGGGCGCGGCACAGGAAGACCAAGGGAAAGACACCAGCCTGGTCGTCTGGAATCCGATTTTGAATTTCCCCCCCTCCCCCCAGGCCCGAAGGCTGGGGCCGGGTCCGGCGAGCCGGAGAAAAAGTAACGTCGTGGGCCCCGGCCATATACGCATCCGGCCTCGAAGTCCGCACAACCCCTTCTTGAGGCTCGCCCCGCCCGAGCCCCCCCCCCCCTCAGCCGAGGGCGGCACCAGGGTACCAGGCGCCGGCGCCCGAGACGGCCTCCCCGGGGACACGGAGATGGCTGAATCTGACACCGCATGCTCCGGCACCGGGGCGGATGAAAAACACAGGGCGCATATGCCTGCGTTCCCCCCCCCCCCCCCCCCCCCCCCCCCCCCCCCCCCCCCCCCCCCCCCCCCCCGGCGGCCGCGGCCCCCCGCCGCGGCCGCCCCCCCCGCGGGGGCGCCCCCCCCCCCCGGCGCGAAGTCCGGGTCGGGGGTTCCCCACGGGCGCCCTTCTTTGGGTGGGGGGCGGGCCGAGCCCCGGCCCCCGGGTGCTCGCGAGGCTTGTGGCATTTGCGGCAACGGGTCTGCCCCCCCCCCCCCCCCCGCTCCCGCTCCAGGAAGACCCGGGGGCGAGGCCGTTGGCCAGGAAGGGAACAAGGAAAGGGGGATTGCCCCCAGGGGCGTGTGGGGGCGTGGTGATAGCCAGGCCGTGCCCGGGGTGTGGCGGCAAACAAACAACAGCAATGTGCCCCGGAGCCCAGGCGGCCGACCCACGGTCAGGCTCCATGTCCCCTCGCCGCGCGTGAGCAAGAGTGCTGCCTCCCTCGACCGGCCCGGCGCCGGGGAACTATGTTCGCTTGAGACTGACGAACGCTACGAACGTGTCACAATGTGTGAATCTTACCCCCCCCCC